CCTTGGTATTATTGAAGGTCTCGCCGGCCTCTAAACCTTCCTGAGGCAAGCCATACCCCGAAGCCACATCAAGCCGGGCCCCTGAAAATTGTTTCAATTAAGGAATAAGATATTTATGGCGTAGCGAAGGGGTTTGGGGAGTTGGAAACCGGTTTGCCACGACTGCTCTGGCATCTACTCAGGATAGGAGGGGGTAGGGAAGGGAGAGAGGAGGAATGAGAAGAGGAAAGGGGGAGGGGAAGAAAGGGAGGGGGAGAAAAAGTAGGAAAGAGAAAAGGGGAAGGGGTAGAAGAGAAAGGGGGGAAGAGAAAGTAGGCAAGAGTCGTGGTGTAAAACGGAGATGGGAGAATAATGGGTAAAGGGACGGAGGAGGGGGGGGAGTAGATGGAGAAAGGGGAATATAGGTAAAGGGGAATAAAAAGTCAAAGGTAGGAAAGGGAGTTTTCGCCAACTGAGATGGAGATATTGAGGGAGGGAAAATGAAGAGGGTTTCGAAAGTGACTACAAAGAAAGAGATCAGAAAATGAAAGGGGTTGGGTGATGGGGGGGGAAAGATGCTAGAGAGTAAGGGGCTAGAAAAGAGGACAAAGGGTGCGAGGAATGGGAACAGACCGGGAAACTAGGTGGTATGAGGGCACTGGGCAGTGCAACTGGCTCCTTCCAGCGACTTTAAACAAAAAGGTAATATTAATATATTTAATTATTAGGGCAGAAGAGTAGCCAGAATCCTGGAGGGTTGCCAATGTGGCGCCAAATTTGATGGAGATAAATCACTTGCACCAAACTAATGACCAATAAGCTTAATGTCTAATGCGGATGCATCATTTTAACCAACAATGGCAAATAAACACCTGGATACATCTTTTAAAACTGAGATTTATAATAGACTCGCAACATGGTATTACTAATTGCTACTGGCGCTGACAAATCTACTCTTATTTCCAGAAAAGTTCAGTTGATAGAAGGAAAAGATTGTTGCATTATATACCATGACTATAGCAAATGAAACTGGAATGGGAGTAGGACATACAGGAGAAGGGAGGATGTTCTAAGAGGGAGAAAAGCATGTGATTATGTCCAATGATACAAAGTATACATGGAATTAAGTCCATGGAGTGAACACAGTTGTAAGTGGAGTGCCTCAATGCTTGGTCCTGGCGACCCTGTTGTTTACCATAACAATTAGGGAAACTGCAGAATTGGCCCTTAATTGCTCCTATTCATATCCACCCCGAACTCAGTCATACTGTCTAACCTTCACTTGTAACAATCCAGTGATCCCACGAGTAGTATGCAATCTGTTCTACAAATCAACAAACCTGTTTTCAAACCAGTATTTACCCAGGTCTTTCCGAAATATAAACTTATCCAATTTTGGAGCCATTGTTTCGTGTTTGTGTTGACATATGTAATATCTTATTAACATCCCCCCCCCTTGTTATATGCCCATTCATCCCCCCCCTGTACCCTTCAGTTATCTCACCGCTCTCCGAGATGGACGCAGGATTCAAACAGAGAGATTTAAACAAGAATGAAATCCCTCATAAAATAATATATTTCTCGAAGACAATAAGCCTGAGAAGGGAAAAGGGGGGGGGGGGGGGGATAGGGCAAAAAGAGTAGTAGACTTACCTATACAACACACCATCACCGTCACCACCATCACCATCACTACCACACACCGTCACCACACACGGCCGACGCCAACTTCCTGGAGGAGGAGTACAAGAGATAGCATCAAGGAAGACGGGTCTCTTGACACTGCTCTGGAGGAGGAGGTCTGCTTCAATCACAGACCGACTGGAAACCGATGACTGCTTCCAGGAACGTGTCTCAAATGCCATCACAATATTTGGTAGATTCTCCGTGGGTCTAGGTCTCCAACCTAGACCCAATTGTAATTACGAAGCAATAAGATGCTTAACATACTAAGAAGGTTAGGTAAGGTCGGTGTTTTCTATGAAGCTTTTCAAGGCAAACTAAAATAGTCACAATAAATTAGTATGTAACATATGCACGTATTTAATAAGTCAATATTGACTAAGAAAGTGCGAGAACGGGTTGAAGTCTCCCAGGATACATAAACTACCGTAGGGTAGATGGGGGGGGGGGGTGTTTGGGACGGTAGATAACCATCTACCATCCCACCCCCTCCCTCGTTAATCCCCAGCACCGTCAACCTTTCCCCCCACCCCCAACCCTCTCACTCCTGTCAGTTCCCCACCCCGTCAATCTCCACCCCCGTCATACCCCACCTCCCCACCACCGTCATTTCCTCCCGTCAAGAGTATATCGTCAAGTCTTGGGCCCAACATTTTCTTCCAACGGCGTTTGACTTTAGCGTCTAAACGCATTGAAAAAAATCATGTATACATCTACATGATCCTGTATACATTTACATGATCCTGTATACATCTTCATGATCCTGTACAAGTATATACAGACTATCAATGGAGGCCAATTTTTGTAAAAAGAGTGTGCCCAAATTGGCAGTAATTTTGTTAAAAAAAAAATCACTCGTACCCACATGAATTTTGAATCTTAGAAAATAATTTGTTAATTTATTTAATTTATTGTAACCTTTAAATATCTAACAAAGCACAACATGCATTATTATGTGTCCCCACCATTTCCCCCTCCCCCGTCCCCTCGTCCTCCCCACCATTCCCCACTCCCTCGTCCAATGTGTTCCCAAATGATCTGATGTTCCCATCAGAAAAATGAGAACATCAAATGATCTGATGTTCCCATCAGAAAAATGAGAACATCAAATGATCTGATGTTCCCATCAGAAAAATGAGAACATCAAATGATCTGATGTTCCCATCAGAAAAATGAGAACATCAAATGATCTGATGTTCCCATCACTGAAAAAATAAGACCAGTTAAAAAAAGAAATTAAAAAAAACTATGCTCACGAAATGAACGGTATGGTAAACAACACAGCTCAATTCCAACGCAATCCACACAAAATAATTAAAACAAAATGAAAATAAATTGAAAATTATGAAAATTCAATCTATCAATACAATCGGAAACACTGAAATGGAATCTTAACATATTTAGTATATCGTGTGTTGCTTTTACGTGCAACAGAGCGGTGTTTCTTAAAAAAAAGCATGTTTTACCTGTCACAGGTGTGGCATCTATATAGTAGATATATAAAAACATGCGTATTTGAATACAACGTTGTGTTAAAATTTAAAAGCAATTGGTGAAGAACTTTCGGAGATTAGCGATTTTGAAGAAACGAAATATATATATATATATATATATATATATATATATATATATATATATATATATATATATATATATATATATATATATATATATATATATTTAGTTATCAATTATAAAATGTGTAAATATAATTGATGTCGGAAAGAGTTTATATATATGATTGTTAAAATAGATGCAATAGGTGAAAAAAAGTGTTTAATGGGAACACACACAGGCTTGAGCTACACATTATCCATATATAGACGGGCACATGTTCTGTGCGTCTGTCTGTCTGTCTATCAATGTCCCCATCTTCACCCCCCGTCCCCCCCCGGGTGAGAGGAGGGTGCCTCTCTCTCCTGCCTCTCCCTTCCACCTCTCACCTGCCTCTCTCTCTCTCTCTCCTCATCTTGCTGTTATTCCATTACCAACGTCAGCGTCGACCCTCTAAAGCTCACAGGAAAATTGTCTTGTCTAACGTACACATGAAAATTTTCTTTCTTTCCGAACGCCCTGAGGGAGAAAATTACACCTCCGCCCCCCCCTCCCTCCCTCTCTCTCTCTCCCCTTCCCTCTCTTCCTCTCCCTCCCTCTCCCCCTCCCCATCTCAACACTTAAGTAAAATTTTCCCCTCTAACAACATCCGAAAATTATTCTCCCCTTTAAACGTCTTTAAAAGACAGTTGCCGGTAGTTAGCGAAATACGGGCTCACCATAGCCCGTGCTACTTGAAACTTTTTGTTCCAGGTAGCGAATCTTAAACAACAACAGTTAGCGAAAGAGGAAGACGGTGGTTACAGGTGTAAACAATCATCAACTATTTAATAAATGTACAACAAAAAGCCCCCCCCCCATGATTCACTAAAAAAAGATGTAATGGTTCCCTCAATGGTCGAGGACTCCTGAACCCAATATCTCTTAGCCATAGAAAAGAAAATGGTACACATACTTGTTAGCATTACATGTAGATAAGATAAGCATTACATGTAGATAAGATAAGCATTACATGTAGATAAGATAAGCATTACATGTAGATAAGATAAGCATTACATGTAATGCTACCTATCATGTTTCTACAAGTGGATAACCTCGTTTGGGGGAAAAGGAATCAGGATAGCCTAACAAGGATTGTCCAGACTACGGAAGGGACATGTTCTGTTCTCGTATAGGAAGAGAATTTCTGGTTACAGTCAAGCTGGATAATTAACCTGACGTCTGATCTCATGGATTAATATCCGTCACTCTGAGAGAACAGACCCATTAGGTTGTGTTGGGTTGGGTTGATTCACGTTGGATTGGGTCAGGTTAGGTTAGATTTGGCTGGGTTGGGTTGGGTTGATTCACGTTGGATTGGGTCAGGTTAGGTTAGATTTGGCTGGGTTGGGTTGGGTTGATTCACGTTGAATTGGGTCAGGTTAGGTTAGATTTGGCTGGGTTGGGTTGGGTTGATTCACGTTGGATTGGGTCAGGTTAGGTGGGATTTGGCTGGGTTGGGTTGGGTGTTTTTTTTTAATTTGTTTATAGCCAAGGTGTAATGGTTGATGTTTTGTATATGTGAGGTGAGAGAGATGTGCTGTGACGGCGCTCTCTGACGGCGCTCTCTGACGGCGCTCCCTGACAGCGCTCCCTGACGGCGCTCTCTGACGGCGCTCTCTGACGGCGCTCTCTGACGGCGCCCTCTGACGGCGCTCTCTGACGGCGCTCTCTGACGGCGCCCTCTGACGGCGCTCCCTGACGGCGCTCCCTGACGGCGCCCTCTGACGGCGCTCCCTGACGGCGCTCTCTGACGGCGCCCTCTGACGGCGCCCTCTGACGGCGCTCCCTGACGGCGCTCCCTGACGGCGCTCTCTGACGGCGCTCTCTGACGGCGCTCTCTGACGGCGCCCTCTGACGGCGCTCTCTGACGGCGCTCTCTGACGGCGCCCTCTGACGGCGCTCCCTGACGGCGCTCCCTGACGGCGCTCCCTGACGGCGCTCCCTGACGGCGCTCTCTGACGGCGCTCTCTGACGGCGCCCTCTGACGGCGCTCCCTGACGGCGCTCTCTGACGGCGCTCTCTGACGGCGCTCCCTGACGGCGCCCTCTGACGGCGCTCTCTGACGGCGCTCTCTGACGGCGCCCTCTGACGGCGCTCCCTGACGGCGCTCCCTGACGGCGCTCCCTGACGGCGCTCTCTGACGGCGCTCTCTGACGGCGCCCTCTGACGGCGCTCCCTGACGGCGCTCTCTGACGGCGCTCCCTGCCGGCGCTCCCTGACGGCGCTCCCTGACGGCGCTCCCTGACGGCGCTCTCTGACGGCGCTCTCTGACGGCGCCCTCTGACGGCGCTCCCTGACGGCGCTCTCTGACGGCGCTCCCTGACGGCGCTCCCTGACGGCGCTCCCTGACGGCGCTCTCTGACGGCGCTCCCTGACGGCGCTCCCTGACGGCGCTCTCTGACGGCGCTCCCTGACGGCGCTCCCTGACGGCGCTCCCTGACGGCGCTCCCTGACGGCGCTCCCTGACGGTAGCGATGGTGGTACATATGATAATTAAGTAGTCAAATCCACAAAAGAGGAAGCCGTGCTGAGGGCTCGAATCCACGCACTGGATGTTCCCAGATGAGCTCTAAGTCAAATTAGCCTATTCCAACGCGCAGGTTCGAACCCTCATCACAGCCCCTTCCTTGAGGATGGGCTCATTTGATGCATCAGATTATTGTGATTTATATGTGTGTATTGAATGGTGATATTGATCACCACTCCATCACAATCACCACCATGGTGATGGAGAAGGTAGTGTTGACAGTGATTTACTCAACTCAAAAAAAAAAAAAAAAAAAACGGGGAAAAAACACCTCCAATAAAGTCAACAAATAAACAGGCCAGCGGGGGGGGGGGAAATAAAGCAGAATAAACTTGTTATTAATCGCGCCCCGAGAGATGCCGGTTAATGGAATAAATTTGTTTTAAGTGGATGGCCGAATGGTAGCAAGCCACAGAATACATTACTGTGGGTAGGGCTCTACACGGGCCACGACCTGCTCAGCCTTCATGCTCTACGTGTTCGAATGCTCCGTGTCAGTGAAGAAAATGCATTTCGAACGCCACGAATCAGTGAAGAAAATGTCTAACGCCACGTACCAGTGACGAAAAGGTATTTCGAACGCCTCGAACCTGAGACGAATGTATTTCGAACGTTACGTACCAGTGACCAAAAAAATGTATTTCGAACGCCACGTATAAGTGAAGAAAATGTATTTCGAACGCCCCGAACCTGAGACGAATGTATTTCGAACGCCACGTACCAGTAAAGAAAAGGTATTTAGAACGCCGTGTACCAGTCAAAAGGATAAAATTGATTTCGAGCGTTCCATACAACGGAAATAAAATTGATTTAGAACGCCACGTAAAGTTATTTCGAACACTTAGTTGGCGTACTGTTGAAGGATTAATGTCTTTTCGAACTAATTTCAGTGCAATCGAGCCAAAGATTTTTTTTATGTACAAGTTGTCTAAATAGTGAGTTTGCAATGAATAAATTCAAGGATTTGCAATTTCTAGGATTTATTTTTTATAATTTTTTTACTCCGTTTAAGGAGAATAAATTCTGTTTAAACGGACACAGATGATTAACCTGCACATTAACGGTACTGTTGTCTGGTGTACGGTGACAAGAGGAAGGTTTGATGACTTGAAGAGTTGCCATACCCCCTCCCCCAGGGTCGCCATACCTCCCCCAGGGTCGCCATACAGCCTTCAGGGTCGCCATACAGCCTCCCCAGAGTTGCCATACAGCCCCCAGGGTCGCCATACCTCCCCCAGGGTCGCCATACAGCCTCCAGGGTCGCCATACAGCCTCCCCAGAGTTGCCATACAGCCCCCAGGGTCGCCATACAGCCTCCAGGGTCGCCATACAGCCTCCAGGGTCGCCATACAGCCTCCCCAGAGTTGCCATACAGCCCCCAGGGTCGCCATACAGCCTCCAGGGTCGCCATACAGCCTTCAGGGTCGCCATACAGCCTCCCCAGAGTTGCCATACAGCCCCCAGGGTCGCCATACCTCCCCCAGGGTCGCCATACAGCCTCCAGGGTCGCCATACAGCCTCCCCAGAGTTGCCATACAGCCCCCAGGGTCGCCATACAGCCTCCAGGGTCGCCAT